AGAACCGTGAGATATTGTACTGGTATCGCTACAGGAACGCCCTTTCACAATTTTGTATCACTCTGCTTGTTCTACCCGGGTCTATGGTATTTTTTAATTATTCACTGAGCTAATCGTAGAGTACGTTAGTTAATATAAGAAACGTCTAGCTTCGCGGTCTCTCATTCGGATGCACGTCTTGCCGCATTGTTTCTCTCTTATAACCTCATTATTTCTCACTAATAACCTAACTGAAGCAGCACATGCCCTTGATACGGATTCTAAAAGTGACGTATGTTTAACTGTCAACTTGAGCTTTGAATCCGTGGCGGAAGGAAGTAGAACATGCGTTTTCGTCGATCCGATCGCAAGTGGACAACGCTAAGTAGCGCTGCACAATTAATCGAATTTCTAATCGCGATTACAATTACGGATGCCACAATTACGTAATCGTTCAAAGCGGCAATTAATCGTTCGAAGTCTACTTATGTGCTTAAATTGCGTTTTTTTTCTTTCTACATGTTATCTTAAGGGTTTTTCCCATTATTTTAATTTTAGTATGACATTATAATACCATTCATATTTATAATTTAAAGAAGCAACCAATCCGATGTATTAGTTGACATTCGAGGCTTAATACTATAGTAAAGCACTAACGTTTTTTTCAGTTAGAGAGTTTTCAGCTTGTTTATTTTCAAATAAAAATACGGCACGCAGTTGCATCAAACAATCGTATAAACGTCATTCAATATAAATTGTGATAATTGTAATTAATAATCGCAATTACACTTTCAAGGGAATAATCGACAATTATGATTTTTGAAACCAACAAATCGATGACAACGTTAAAATCGATTCAATGTAAGCCTTACAAAGAGCGGTCATCAGTGTCCTATCAATATTAAATTTAGCTATTTTCCGCAGACGATAAAGTCTTTGTTGGCTCATCTTACACTGTCTATCAGTATTCTCTACAAAATTGTATTTATTATCGATAATAGTACCTAGGTACTTACGACCACTTCAATCAGATTGATTCTAGACAATCGTACTTGATTCCGCCGCAGGTCGGTACTTGTCTTTGAATCATTTGTTCAAGAGATTTGTTCAAAAATGCAGATTCATCCATTAATGAAAAGTCTGTGAGCAAGTCATTGAATAAACTCAAAATGAAGTGACTGACAAGACCATGGTGGATGATTTGGTGCGCAACAGATCCTGAATGTCATCGACTAATACCTTGTGATTGTGAATTTGAAAGCGAAAGTAAATTGCAAGTGTGAATTCATTACAAAAGCAAGACACCGTATATTGATAGTGGTTATGTTGCGCGTAAATTATGTACAATATCTCCACCCCTTACCGTGTTATCAATAAGGTGTTTATTTACTGCGGTGAAATGTTCCTCACTGTGACAGTGATATCTTGCATCTATTACAGTTTAAGCCTGTTGAAATCTCTGAAAAGCTTTCTTCTTTTGGTCTTTATGAATGTGATGCCATCATATAAAGATGAATGTCATGAGACTGACATTTCCCACGAAAACCATCCTTGACCATTCAAATTATAATGCATTATGCGATCAATTGCGCAGTCCTAGCTGATGGTGGTTACCCTGTATGCTTACCATTGTACTGTTTTTATGTACTTGGTCAATAATTGATTGCTTAAACTCTTCTGTACTGCAGCTTCAGAGCAAATAATATCCAGGTAACTTTCCATGAACTGGGCGCAAAATGGAGCATAAAACTCAAATTTTCTTTTCTTTTGGTTTTCAACCAATAAAAAGAGTTTTGAGAAACATACATACTGATTGCGAACATTAGGATGTCAGACTAAATATTATCTGAACTGATTTATTTATATCTGATTCACAATTTTTGCAACAATAGCTATGTTTCCATCCAAAGATTCGAATTAAACTTACGCGCAAAACTGGAATATCGCATAAAAAAATTGGCGAATAAAGCACCGTTCCATCCAACGAGTCGTCACTTCCTGGTAAACTGGCACTAAATATCACTAATAAAACTAGGAGAAGCCACTCAATATAATAATTTTCATATATGATCAATTACTTGCGCCTCGAAACAATGCAATAAATGCAATCGTTGCTTTCGGAGGTGGATGCTGCTGTTTGGGAAGTCAGTCGTGTAAGACAATTATACAGAAATACTTTGACGCCAGCATAGATGCTGTGAACAAGATCGGTCCGCTGGTTAGCACTGGTCTCGTAGCGCTAAGTCACATGACTTTTTTTTTTGATGCGCATGGACGAATTTATTCGGTAAATGTGTTTCCATCATGTGCATTTTTTCTTATCGGATAAAATCCTACTCGACGTATCCTGCTCAAATGCGCGCAAGTTTTTTTTAATGCACATTTTTAGAATTTCTGCGCATCTTGACGTTCCAGCATTTTTTTTTATTATGCAATATTCCAAAATGGATGGAAACATAGCTAATGTTACTTAAATTTGGAACATTTTACAACCCTGACTTGAAAAATGTTAAATGCAGTTCATCAAATATTTAACACTTCTCTCTCACTGCAGAGACGTGATATTCCTGACTGTAATGTTATTAAAATCAGCGTACACAGTTCAAACGAATCCGTCAAAATGATCATACTTTCTGCTAATGTATCAGTGTTCACGTCTTTTTCCCTTTACATTTTGGCATTTTTAATGATTTTATGAAAATTAAATTTTTTTACTTTAATTTTAGACCTGATGGAAGAGAACAAGGAGATGGAAGAAGTGATTGAAGCGGGGAAGAAACATCATGCCATCAAAACTGATGAAACATCCTTGAATCCCTCGTTGCAAACAAGAGCCCAAATATGTTTCACTTGCCCTCAGTGTGGAGAGAGTTTCTCATGCGAACAAAGTCTTGATCTTCACATGAAGATGGAAGAAGTGATTGAAGCGGGGAAGAAACATCATGACATCAAAACTGATGAAACATCCTTGAATCCCTCGTTGCAAACAAGAGCCCAAATATGTTTCACTTGCCCTCAGTGTGGAGAGAGCTTCTCATGCGAACAAAGTCTTAATCTTCACATGAAACTTCACAGTGGAATGAAGCCGTACGCATGTGATCAGTGCGAGAAGACTTTCAGGCAAAAAGCAAACCTTGCCAAACACAGTAAAATCCACACTGACGAGAAGCCACACGCGTGTGATCAGTGCGGGAAGAAGTTCAGAAATAAAGGAAACCTTAATGAACACATGAAAATCCACACGGGAGCGATGCCGTACACGTGTGATCAGTGCGGGAGGAAATTCAGACATAAAGGAAACCTTAATAAACACATAAAAATGCACGCCGGAGAGAAGCCCTGGAGTAAAACCACTGGAGAAAAACGGCACGCGTGCACTCAGTGTGGAAAGAAGTTCAGACAAAAACACCTCCTTGATCAACACATGAGAATTCCTTCAACTTTAAAACAGAAAATTCTGTAGATTTACATTGTCTTCTGTACCATGAACAGACAATCTGTTATGTTGAAATTTATAAAAAATTATAGCATAGGCCTATCTTTAGTAGCAAATAAATCCAGCACAATATATACAAATTGAACATGGTTTATTTTTATCTCATGTAAACATTATTAAAAGTGCATTCAATGGCTGTTGTTTGCCTTAAACGGGTGAAGACAAAAATATTATGACCAATTAATTTAACAATGTGTAAAGCACCATTGAAAATGCTTGTATTGTGGAACACTTTTTAGTTTTAAAGTCCCCCTGTAGTCAAAAATTGTATCCTTTAAAACTCATCTTTGATCATCAAAATTACATATTTAAATGTTTTTTCTTGTGAAAATAATTTTGATCCCTGTGAAATATTAGGAAGAATAAACCTTATGAAAATGATAATATTCCCAAAGATTGCATACCCACTATCCATGACACTATCAACAGTGCCTTATTACTGGACTAAGTTATCTTTCATATCTGATTGCGCTAATACTGTCAAAAACAGACAAGGATTACATATAAACAAATGTCTAAAGTGAAAGTAAAGAGTTGAGAGAAACCGGATGCGTGCCTGTATATTAGATGTGTGCAGCTCTTAAAGGGACAGTACTAAACATGCTGCCGACTATCATTAAAGGGATAGTTCACCCAAAAATTTAATTTCTGTCATTATTTACTCACTCACATGTTGTCCCAAACCTGTATTTATTCATTTGTTGTGCTGAACACAAAAGAAGACATTTTGAAGAATGTGCTTAACCAAACATGATAGTGGAAAAAACTAAATAAAATACTATGGAAGTAACGGGGGACCAGCAACTGTCAACAAAAGAAAGAAACACTCTCAAGTTTTTTTTAAACCCGAATGAGAGTAAATGATGACAGAATTGTCATTTTTGGGTGAGCTATCCCTATAATGGTAATAAAACAAAACTCGAAGCGAAAAATCACTCACTCACTCAGGGCCGGCGCTAGCAATGGGCAGAGCAGGCGATTGGGGCCTCCATAACGTAACATCCCCTATATGCCAGTCCACCAGTCAAGACGGGCAGAAATACTAGCCTCATTATTCATTAGATATAGTTGAATTGTCACTCATCTGCAATTAAACCAATTAATGTTGGAGTTTCAAAGCGGGTCCCGCCTTCTGAATGTTTGCATAACGAACACATCTTTCAGGTGCTGCAAACTATGCGATGCAAAAGGCTAAATAGGCACTCAAACAAGTAGCTCCTAATGCAGGTGTGTGAGTTGTTGTCATCAATTTTGGAGTGATTACAATATATTTTAAATATAAACTTCGGTCAGCGTAATTTCTGGAAAGATCATTGACCGCTTTATTAAGAGTTTAAAGGAGCGCGAGCGCCGTTGACGCGCCCAGACGCGACGCTTTGAATTTGCGCGTACAATGAATGACATCACGCCGGGAGCTGACTACCAAAATAGCTACAAAAGTAGCTACAAAAGTAAAAGCAGAGAAATTTGTATTCAACGCAAATTCAAAGCAAACATATTAGAATTTTTTTTTTAATGGTTCGAATAAAGGATCTCAGGTGTATCTTCTAAATTCGGCTGATGATTAGGATTACTGCTCTAACATAACATTTACAATTTCAGTTTCAACTAACTAACTTTTTTTATGCTTAGTAGCGATCGTGTCTTTCTGTTCCACTTGATTTGTGTATATATGTCATATTTAGGGTAACAATGCAGTACTATTAATATATTATAATATAATATCATTGATATTAATAATATGACCTTATCTGTAGTTAATGTTGATTAAATGGGAGGGGGAAATCCTGCCCATGCTAGGAAAAAAAATGATAAAAGCACTTACTGAAGTGGTATTCTGGAACTGTGATTAAATTAAATAAAACAGCAAAATAATCAGTGTTGGGTAA